ACTCTAGGTTTCATATTGAGGCTTCATGTGCTTTAAGTAGAAGGAGAAGAGCTAATGGTCAACACCATTGTCTGTTAGAGGAATATTCACAAGTTTTATTGTAACACCCATTTATTTATTAGTTAAATAAATAAACTAAAGAATGAATGGTAGCCTAAAATAAATAATTATATATGCAGGGGCTCTATGGTAATTACCGAGAATTGTTTTTAAAAGAAATGAGGTGGAGGGGCTGAATATGTCATAATTAAGATATTGGGGGTTGTTCGGTAATTTACGAGGCTTAGTTTGTAAGGGATTTCAGAAGACAGGGTTGAATTGGTAAATTAAGGACTAAATTTGAAAGAAAATGAATAAGGAGGGGCCATATACGTCATTATGGGCTGAAGTTCTATGAAACGGGTATAAAGACCCGCCACCTCCTAACCCTAACCGTAATGTTAGAAAGCAGCCGTCACCACCTCTTGGGTGCATCTCAGCTGCCATGTGTAAGCAATCCCAGCTGTCGTTGCCACTTGTTTGCGTTTCTCCGACCGCTCACGTCTCCAAACGAGCACCGCTACCAGCCGATTCTCCTGCCATCATGGTGGAATGTTGTTTAGCTCCTCTGATGCTTCGTTGTCGACGATAGTGAGGGCCTAGCAGACGTTCTTCAGGTCGTTGTTGTCGCTCGAAGTCTCAGCCTCATCCCCGATCGTTGGTCCTCTGTTTCAGTCCACGATTCCGTTGTCGTAGCTGTTCAGAAGGTCATCCTTTCGTCGTCCCTTTCTCCGACTGTCTGGTATTGCCACCCAAGTGACGAAGGTGGGTGTGTGACTTGCGACTGGGATTGGAATCGTGTTCTTTCTACTCGCGTGGGTTGAAGTTGTTTGATTGGGAACCAAAAAGGGAACACTGCCACCACTGTGAGGTGGTGGCTGCCAGCGAGACTTAGCTGTTCCGCCTCCACGAGCCACCAGGTGGGTGGTCGGACGTTTTTAGCAGATTAGAATCATGTGTGTGTAATTGTAAATGGTATTTGAAGGCTAGAAAACATAAAATATACCCACCATGCCGGCCAGCCATGGTGGCTGCCGCCATTCGCCACCACCGGCTGCCATTAGTTGCTATGTATATGTGTTTGTATTATTGTGTGTGTGTGTGTGATTATTTGGGGTGTTAGCATTGTATGATGTAACAAAAAAATGAAATAATGAAAGGAAAGAGAAAACCACCACCTTAAGGTGGTGGCCGCCGCCTCCTGCCGCCACCGGTCGCCGTGTCAAGTGGCGGTGTGCTTTGCGTGGTGGTGTTGACTAGTTTGGGGTGCTAGAAACCCTAATGGGCCCAAAGAAGCATAATGGGCTTAATGAAAACCCTAATGGGCTTAATAGGCCCAATAAAGCCCTAATTGATATAAAAGTCCAACAAGCTAATAAATGGGCTAGTATTTGGGTTAGAAACCCTAATTAGGGTTTGGAAAAACCCTAATGCCAATAAAACCCTAATTTGAGAATAAATGGGACACACACACACTCGAGAATTATTAATAACTTGAAACATGAATAATAATCATGGGCAAGGTTTAGCTAAGCGATATGGGACTTAATGAGTTAAGTCCTTAGAGGATTAAGTTCTTAATAGGTTAAGTAGGAAACTTAACCCTAATAGTCATTTTATGTGAAACCCTAATTTCTCTTGGGTTTATTGTTGGGCCTCTCTATTGGGCCTTGATGATTGGATTATTATTGGGCCATCCAAAGTGAAGCAATTGGACTAGAATAATTAATGGGCTTTGAGGTAAGGCCCGTATGAGGAGTGGGCTCAATTTGGAAAATTGGGCCATGTGTTGGGCTTTGATTCCTAACTGACTTCGGGCCTAAGAATTGGGCCTTGGGCTTGGATAAGCCAAGCTAGGGGTAAAGTAGTAATTACCCAAAGAATGTACTTATGGTTATGTAGTAGGATCCAATTATTAATTGGTTGATGTTTTGATATCGACAGATTGGGAATCTGTCATCCAGCAGCTAGGGTTGAGTCTGCAGGACTTCAGCAGCGTGGGATTAAGTCTGCGAGACTTCAGCAGTGTGAGGTGAATGTTCTCACTATACTTTACCAGGCATGGTAACTAGGTGTGACCGGAGGGTCTTATGTGTATGAATAAATGATGAGACTTTATGTGATATGTGACCGGAAGGTCTTTTATATATATATATATATATATATATATATATATATATATATATATATATATATTTGTATGAGCTATGTGACTTATGTGATATGTATATGTTGTATGATTTGGGACCGGAAGGTCGACAGAGATATGGCCAGAAGGCAATCAGAGTTATGGCCGGAAGGCGATCAAAGTTGAGGTCGGAAGGCAAGCCATGGTAGGGCCGGAAGGTCTACCGTTGTGGGACTGGAGGGTCCCGCTGAGACACATTGACTGAAAGGTCTTACAGAGCTATAGCCTCGAGTGGCTAATCTGTTTATGCAGTATTTTGGGAAACTTACTAAGCATGCGTGCTTAACGTGTTAATGTGTTTCAGGTACGTTGTTTCAACGGAAAGGAGCCGGCTTGGTCGCAGGGCATCACACTATGTTTTCTGCACACAGGATCCTTGTGATTACACTCTGATATGGTTTTATGATACTTTGATTGATATATGAAACTTTAGTTTTTGATATGAGATATTATTATGAAAGTCTTTATATTAATCGCTTTTATACAATAACTTAATTAAAAATAAAATTTTTGGCCTTGAATTTTGGGATGTTACATTTATGAAGCTACAAACTTGAAGGCTTTCAATGTTATTGGAAGATCAAGTTGAAAATATTGTGTGTTCTGCAAGTCGAAAGATGCAACAGGATCTAACCAATATTGTAACGACCCAATTTTCAAGGCCAAAAATTTCATTTTTGAATTAACGCATTTGACAAAAAAAAATTGTCAATAAAACATTCCATTACAAAATCATAATGTTGTATTTCAAACCATAACATCATAAGTATTAAAAATTAGAGTACAATCCCAAAAACTTCTTGCGAAAACATGTGTGTGTGTGTGTGATGCGCTGCTACACCGTCGACTCTTTCCCCTTCGACGAAGAGGTACCTGAAACCAAAAACCAAAACTGTAAGCACAAAGCTTAGTAAGTTCCCCCATCATACCACATACCATACAATATCGTCGGTATCTCTCAACTGGTAACCTTCATCGGCATCTTTTAACCGGTAACCTTCATCGGTATCTTTCAACCGGTAACCATCATCGGTATCTTTCAACCGGTAATCAACATCGGTATATTTCAACCAGTAACTGGGGACTATTTCACCCCTACCACCAGCATACAATCAACAGATATAAGCATACAGTCAGGCATATCCGAGCACTGACCTACCCCTGGGTCCTAAGGACCACTGTTAGGGAAACTAATCTCTACCATACACATAACATACCATCCAGATAAACCTCATAAACAACACATAACCATACCAAGATAATTATCACAAAGACCATTATCTTCTAAATACCCCTTTTTGGTGGGCCGGCATTGTGGCCTTAGACCCACCCCTACTGGAAGGTAACTCACCACAATGTCATGTAGTGTCTGAACTATCCTCGGCACACAAGTCGACTCCATATGACTCCTCGATCCCTACACGACAACCTTCAAGTCAACACACATCACATCCAACCCTAAATAGGGTCAGTCCAAGTTCAATCAAAGTCAACATTGGTCAAATTCAACATTCAGTTGACCTAACTCGCCGAGTTGGCCTACCAACTCGTCGAGTCTATGCTTCTCTAATCCCACACAAAACCCCAACTCCACTCGTCGAGTCTAGAAAAACTCGACGGGTTCTCCTTCAATCATAACATCGGGACCATCTTCATCCGACTCGCCGAGTTCGTTCTTGAGCTCGTTGAGATCATCTCCATCTTAAGAACTTGTCCAGTCTATCACTTGTCGAGTTGTATGAAAAACACGTCGAGTCCATCTTCAAGATTGGATTGCTATGGACTCTCCGAGTCTGCTCATATCACTCATCGAGTCCCATGGCTTCCAGGTCCCTTTTTGCGTCTAAACCCACAAGGGACTTCCTTCCTAACACTTACCCATTCACCGAAAGAGTTTGGTGCACAATGGTCACCAACTCATCGAGTGCCAAGAACAAATCGTCGAGTCCAACCATGACCAATTCCATACAGTCGATTTAAATGAGTTCTAACACACCAAAACCATAGATCTGGCCTCCTAATGTCCATTTTATACGTAAAGTTCCAAACTTGATGCACATGCGTGAGGTTTTTAGCTAAAAAATCCATATAAAGTGTCCTACAATGTGCATGGGGTTCTCATGGCCCTAAAGTTGGCACCTTTATGCCATGAGATCCCTCTTATGGCCCATATCTGAAGTCAAAACTCACTCAACACTTCCAAATCCGAAAAATGACTTAGAAATCCATAGAGATCCCAAGCTAAAGATGAATAAACAGATAGATGAGTCAAGACAGGGGCATTATACCTTGAAGCTACTGAAAATGAAGTAAGACCTCCGGATCTACAAGCCCCAACTCGATTTCCAAGCTCCTTTCTTCCTTCCAAGCTTTACAATCCACACAAGAACACCAAAAATGGCCTTAACTCACACACAAACAGCTAGGGTTCGATATGAAGCTTTCAAGAGAGTGTTAGGGACAAGGGAGGCTGAGTTAAGTTGTTTATATAGGGTGAAAACCCTCAGATTTAGGGTTTCACTTAACCAGCACCAACTCGCCGAGTCAGTCTCCCGACTCATCGAGTCGGTCACTTAAAATGTCCGCAGCCACGTCCCTAATCGACGAGTTGATCATCCAACTCATCGAGTCCAAGAGAAAAATACATATACTGAAGAAAACATACCAGGTGTTACAAATATTGGCTTTGAATGTCTATAGCCTCACTCATAATTCGCTCCAAAGTCCACAATGGAAATCAAAGCTTTCGGCTTTCCAATGTGACCTAAGCTACCTATTCAAATTTCTCTTTCTCTTCTACTTCTCTCACAATTCTATTATGCTCATCAATATGAGCTTCATGAGCCTTCCTACTTTTTAGCTCATGCTCATCGGGTTCTTTTTCTACACTATCGTCAATGACCCTTTCATCAAAGACCTTTTCTTTGCCTTTCGAACCCGAAGTTGCATTATCCTTCGGTTCATTTTTTGTCTTTGGATTCATAGGTGGCTTTACAACTGATTTTGAGTTTTCTTTCTTTGGTTGCTTCACAGTCTCTCCCCCTTGTTTCGAAAGTGAGCTTGACTCCGGAACACCTTCAATCCTGTTGAGCATCGCAAGCACAGGTCGAAGTTTTTCAGCTAGATGCTTTTTATAGTGATCGTGATTAAAGAATCACGATTCTCAATTATGTCTGATAGTAAGGCGTTCACATCTGCAACACAACTCTTCATCACCACCTTTTCGAATAAGAGTGTGTTAATCTGCTTCTCAGCTTGTTCCATTTTGACAGTTAGAACCTTCACGTTTTCTGTCTTGACTATCATCTGATCCATTATCTTGTTCTCCATTTCCAAATCTTCATGAAGCTTGTCTATTTTGGAAGAGATGGAGGAGTTGAGCTCAGAGTTGTCGAATTGGATGCCAGTGCCAACTTCCTCAAGTTTATCTTTCTCTGTGTGAAGAGCTGATCCAAGACTGGAAATTAATGTATTTGCGTTCGCAGTATTTGTTTCAAAGGAGTTATGAAAGGTCCTCATGAAATATCGAGCATCATTGATTAGTTTATCGAATTTTTTGGTCATTTCCTTGCAAAAAGAAGCTGAAGCCTCAACAACTTGATTAGTCTTGTCAAGGTTCATAGAATGTTCCTTCGCCAGTGTTTAAAAGAAGGCCTTGACAGTTTCTTGTGAGTATTCACCACGAGAAGATGATTTAGTGGAGTCAATCAACGAATCAAACTTTTCAGATGGAGCCACTACTAGAAAAATAGCCTTTTACGACGCTCATTGCACGTCGTAAAAGGCTCAGACGACGCGCAAATGCGTGTCAACGAAGGCCCTATCATAAAGAGAGACGACGCGCATTTACGACGCTCATTTACGACGCGCAATTACGACGCGCGTTTACGAAACGCAATGCGTATCAAGGAAGGCCCTGTCATAAAGGAAGACGACACGCATTCGCGTGTCGTAACCTTACGACGTGCGTGTTAATGACATGCAATGTGTATCAAGAAAGCCCCTGTCAAGAAAGGCCATGTCATAAATGAAGATGACACACGTTTTTGCGTATCGTAAATTTAAATGTTTAAAAAAAATAAATTTATATATTTATTAATTTTTAAATTAAATTTGCATTTAATTTCTTATAATAGAAATAAAATACCATATACAAAAAATACAATCCATTGCATAATATAAAATTAAATTTCATACTCAAAAAATAAAATAAATTGCACAAATTATAATGTCATACAAAGAAACATTCAAATGTTAAGCAAAAATAATACATTGCTAACATGTGTTATACATTCCTATAAAACTAACAAATAATCATACAACTTTGTTTCTTACTGGAAAGGAATGCCAAACATGATTACAAGTCTCCCTTAATCTTGATTACTCACCTGCTTAAGTAGAATGTTGTTGTTGAAAAGGTTACCTACCAACAGAGAAAAACACAACACCTCTCCCACAATCACAACATCATTTACAGAAAAAGGGTTGTCAATTACTTTCAGTAATACTTTCATTCAATCACAAAAATATTAAATAAAAGGGTGAAAAGAATAACTTACTATTGATAAGTTGATCTCCCTTAGAGCAAACACAGCTAAAGCATTGAACAAGACCCTATTTCAAAATTTTGTAAATACACAAATCATGATACCTGATATTGGAATACACACTTTGAGACATGAATTAATACGAGTAGATTAACTTGAGCAATGATATACAAACACATGACCAAGGGCTGCATGATAACAAGATCTTCTAGAGCTTCTACTTTGTCTAGTGATAAGGTGTTGTATATATAACATATCAACATCCTCAAACTCATCAAAATCCTCCTGCAGATGAAATGGTTTGGGGTGGTTTTACTTTTAGATGCTTTGTGAAAAGTGAAAACCACAAGATTCTTTTATCTTGAATTTGACAAGGTGGTATAGTGGAGAGAACCTTAAAGAAACTATTGAGAAAATGTGAAAAGGAAAAAGTATATGATGACCTGATTTCGTTCCACATAGTCATCAATGAAGTCCTTAACATCATTGACTTATTCAGGGCTCAATTCATCATTATCCACCTCGATTTGAGATTCCAGCTCAGACACCTAACCAATAATAAGAATTGTCATATATAATGTCTAAATGGGTAACCAACAACTAAGACATGCTTGAGAGGGAAGAGTAAGAAGAAAGGAATACAAATGGAAACATAAATGACCTTCTTACCCTTCGAAAAAGATTTGCTTAATAATATATTAACTCTTAACATATTAAATAAAAACAATAAAAAATAAAATAAAATAGAGCTCACCTTTTTGTTCAACAACTTCAATAAATTGATGAGCTTCTTCAAAGATCTGACTGATGTCTGCTTCTTCTTCATCACCTATATGTTCATGTTCATCATCACAACCCATTTTTTATTAAATAAAAAAGGAAAGATTAATTAATCACTTACAAAAAAGTTTTGATACTCAAACAAATCTGCCCGTTGAGATTCAGCCTGCCCGATTTCATTAGAACACAAACACAATCTGGACAAGAATTACTCTCACTGCCCTCAAAAAACCTTGAAGTGAATAAAATGTTCCAAAATTATTCAAAAATATCATATTTTCTCAAAATGAGGTTTTCCACATTAACCAACTCCTAACATTTTCTCAAAAATATTATTTAAACATCATTTAAATTTTTTTCTTTTTAAAAAAGAAAAAGCATAAGGTACCTCAGTTAAACACAAAACTTTAGTTGGAATCTCATCACATAATCTAGGTAATCTGGGAAGATTAAACCCTCCAACTTGTATGGCCATTTTCGAAAAATAAAAACATGAAGTTTCAAAGCATTGAAAGTACATAAATACTAATAATAATAATAATAATAATAATAATAATAATAATAATAATAATAATTAATAATAATAATAAACTATGTAGTACCTACATAGCTATATGTTGTTAAGCCTGGGCCATAATGGTCTCATGTTCAGATTTCATCTGCCCGCTGCAGTAAAATAAAGAGCACCAAAAACATCAGATTTATCATAAACTTGTTCATAATAATAAAGCCCACATGGATTGAAAAAAAATTTAATTAATAATAATAATAATAATAATAATAATAATAATAATAATAATAATAAAGGATATTTTAAATAAAAACCTAATGGTTGCACCTAGCATTCAGATTTTTCTTGACCCACCCATCGATAGATACAAACAGTAATACTACCATGAGAACAATACATAACTGATTATTATAACTTGATACATCTACAAGATGCATAAATGGAAAGATGTTGACAAAATGGTTATAATTATATACGCAAAACTAAAAACTTTAACATCCAGCAACCATACCAATGAACTGGATCAACAGGCTCCGTAGTTACAGGCACAAGAGCTACTGAATTATTCATTATCAGACAAAGGTCAAGAAGAAATTTAGGGTTTCAAACCAAAATGGAAGACTAACAGATTATGTCTAGGCTCTATTTTTACAACGAAATAGTCACAATTGAATCAGTGGTCAGAGAAATATAATAAAATCGTCAACAAAAATGCATATGAAGAGGAACCAAAGATAGTTTTATCAAAAGAACACCAATGTTTACACAAACAAAACTAAACAAGTTTTACAACACAAATCACTTTAGAACACACATCAGCAAACGACAAGACTTAGAAATATATTAACTTACACTAATCAGTGTTTCCAGGAAAGAATCTATAATCTACAAAACAAACAGTTAAACATAGACCACCTGGGTAAAGAGACTTACTTATGCCCTTAGTTTCAGTGCTTATCTGGAATTGAAAAAATAATAATAAAAAGAAATCGCCAACATTTTCACCACTACAAATACAAGTTACTTTAAATTATTGTATTATTTGTTGTATTAAATTGAAATCCAGTACTATTTAACACACAAAGGATTTTGCAATGTTAATGCTTTGTTTTTATTGTTAGGCAGCAATATATATATATATATATATATATATATATAGCCAAAGCAGTAGACATCGAATGAATAACATTAGTCTTGAATGGAAGTACAACAGAAGTTCCCCTGATTTGCTCATATTGTGTGTAAACTAGGAAACACCAAGACACCAAATTGCCAAACACAACCGGTGATATTAATGGCTTAGGTCGCCCTATGCCTAGCCTAGCCCTAACCTGCTGTATATTTTGTGAAGCTAAACTCCATTGAAGTTTTGAAATCGACTGTTGGAACACCCAACCTCTTCTAGACTAAACAACTGAATCACATACACACTTCTTCACCTGAGGAATTCTACAACTCCCAACAACACAGAAATATGTGCACACATGACAAAATTATTAATGGCCTTATTAACTATATTTGATTTGTTGTGATTCCTATAGTTGCATAATATCTACACTGCGACAGTTTTGTGGATTACCCACCTCTTCGGGAAGGTATACATGCTCATTACTTATTTTTGTATTTTCAAATGGGATCCTTCTCCCTCTCCCTCTGGTAATTTCCTCTTCAAACCCGGTCCTCCTGATTTAATAAAACATAAGACTATTAGTCTATAACCTCAACAATAAAAACATAAGAAATTATTATTTTTAAAAAAAAAAAGATTCTTTGTGTCCTCAACAATTATTTCAGATTTAAATACTTTCGAACGTGCAAAAAAAGAGAAAAATAGAACTTCACCATACCTGTAACTCATGCCAAGTTGCCAACAACGATCTACCTTTGTTGATTCGATCAATGCCTTTTCCTTAATATATTGACCTACGAGAGCAATTTACAAGTAAACAAACATAAAATTATCTTCAAAAATGATAAGAATTTGCTAAAAGACAGAAAACAACGAACTGGATCAATTCAAATACAATTTAAGTTCACAAATCGTTTTCAGAAAACAAAATTCAATTTACGTTCACAAATTCTTCCTACTGACTTGAGAAACTTTTTAGGATCCTGTATGCGAAGGACTACAACCAGAAACATCTATAACAAGAGAGCACCTTGATCTAAAAATTGTAAGAGAGAGAGAGAGCATTCAAAAGGAATAAATATGGGAGGTTATTAGAGCGAGAGAGACGAGAGATGAGAGAGGAAGAGAGAAATGGAGGGGAAGAGTAGCTGCAACGCGTAAAATTTACCTTCACTATGTCTTCGGTTATGTTGTTGAAGTAGGCCTAGTAAATTACGTAGTCAATCCAACTTCCTTCCACACAATCTTCTTTTCACAATCCCAATTCCGGGAAGTTTTTGGTCATTAGAGCAAACCATCTTCTCCCCAAATCACTCCAAACCCTAACCCCTAATTAACTAATCCAACTATGGGATTAATTTTGTATTTACAGGAAGATAGAGAGGAAGAAGATGAATACGAAAATAAATACACCAGAGCAGTCAACCATTTTATGTAATTGCTTCACCGTTGGGCCCCATTGTGAGTTGCAGTAGGGCGTTGTCAACGTGAAGAGTCGCAGACCCCCAATCGTCGGTTCTATGAAAGATTTTGTGAAGGACAAGAAGCGGTGATAGAAACTATGGTTTTTCTGGGAGATAGAAAAGCAAAATAAGAAGCGAGCCTGATTCTTTGGTTGCCGATTTTATTATATGGAGCACAAAGAAGATAACGGCGGGGGAGGAGAAGATAGATCCGACGAAGGTAAAAAATATGGAGCAAGGAAGTAGGAACGTGAATGGCAAGAGGTTGTGTCTAGGGTTAGAGAGAGAGAGAGAGAGAGAGAGAGAGAGAGAGAATGGCTCTGTGCAAGAGATAAGGCGACCCATAGGATCAGAGTGAGAAGCGGGGTATTCAAAATTTTAGAATTTTAGATCCCTCTTTAAAAACATGCGTTTAGTTAAAAAAATATAAAGCGACATTTGTAGACGACACACACTTAAAATAAGCGCCCTCCGTGTTTTTAATTTTTTTTATTTGACACTAATTGTAGGGCACGCACAAATGTGTGTCCTCTATCCTTCAAATTTTGGAAAATTAACATCGATTTTTATGGCACGCACAAATGTGTATCCTGTATTAGAGCGTGTCATTGATTGTGCGTCGTAAAAGGCTGTTTTTCTAGTAGTGAGCCTTTAGCTGCCCTCGGGTGACTGGAGCTTCATAATTGCTTTCTGTCCAGATATTGAATAGAATGTAGGTAAATCCCCTAAAATCATCTTTATCATCACCGCCGATAGTATCTAGATCGTCCAAGCGAAGAGGTGAAATGGGTGATGTAGAAGGACCAAAAGTGAAACCTAAAGCACCTTCCCCCACATCAGATTCATTAACAGACACTAGAGGTTCACAGGTGGTAGTGGTTGTGGTGGCTATTGAATCTGTAAAAATTAGGGTAGATTAAAAAAAATAGCTTGGGGTTGTGAAACGCCCACAGGAGGACATGGTGCGATGGTAATGGGAGTGGTAGTGGTAATTTGAGAATAAGGAGGAGTAGGTTGTTAAAAGAAGTCATCTGATATTGGAATAGATGTTGGTATTTTGAAAAGATACATCAAAGTTCGTTGTTGCAGGCTCTGAAACTTGTGGTTGGGAAGTAGCAGTAGTATCAACATGTTCGTTGTGACATCTTCTTGAACTGGAATCTCCGAAACTGTATTGGACTATGAATCTTCACGGTCACTTGGCATGGCAGTACATGGCCTGCGAGCCACTCGTTTAACCTTCTTCTTTGGCGTTTGGACTTGTTCAAATGGACCAGCTTTCACATCTCTTTTCTTTCCACCCTTTTTTGGTTTGTCAACCTCTTCAAGGACCTTTTGTACTTCATCAGTCATTAGGTAAAGACCGGAGACTAGCAGACAGCGATAGGTTCGCATAACTTCACTTGCTCCGGTATGTTGTGAAGCATTGCCTCAGGGATTAAGCCAATGAATGAAAATCGGGAAGCATTAGTCAAGATTATGTTAGTGGTGTGAAAGATCTAAATATTAGCCATACATGAATCTTCTAGAACCAAGATGTTAAGCCGATCAATGGCCCTTTGAGCCACTATAGTCTAGAAACGAGCATAGGAAATCTCGTTGTGTCGTATAGTCGAAAGGGTACTTTGGACCAGTTGAGCCCAAAGCAAATAATATTAATCAAGGTTGATTCCTGAAAAGATACCATACATTATCGTCATGAAGAGCTTGCTGGCATAGTCGGAGCTTGTTACTCTCTTAGAGAAACTTTTGAAGATGACAGTAAACAACCCATTCCACATCGGTGGCAAATTTAGCTTCATGAACTTTAAAACAACAGTCAAAACTTCCTTGCACCCCATTTGATAAAACATCCCCAAGATGGCAGAGTTGGAGATAGTCTCAGGGTCAACTAGGTCATGACCTTGATGAATCCCTAGCAGGCTACAAAACCTCAATTTCGAGATGTGGGTTTTCATTTTAAATATTTTGTACGTAATCATCTCCTCACCTTCTTGGTAGCTAGCTGTTGAATAGGCAATGGACAGATGAACCAAGGGAATGATTTTAGATTTCTTCAGTGCAATGAACAGTGGAGAATAGCGGAGGCATTCAATGAGGGGTTGAAGAAAACCATCATATTTAGCAGGATTGAGGTCCAGAATTAGATTCTGGTTTTGCCTTGATGTTGAGAATGGATGATTGTGCCACTTGTTCTTCGAGAGAGGGGTTTCTGATGAAGTTGCCATTGAAGCTTGATGAAGACAACGATGAAAAGTAGGGAGAATAATAGCCGGGAGGATTTTGATTTCTTTTGAAAGTGGTAAGTAATATTGAATCATCAAAATCCTTTTATACCGTATAGTAAGAGAGAGATATATGGCGGTTAGTTGTATTGAATACCGAAAAGTCACCTAAAAGGCGTGAGTGACAGCTATGAATTGTGTCAGGCGGCTTCAAATTAGCGTCAGCTTCAAATTTTCACGCACCCAAATCTTATCCTTTTAAAATATCGTTTCAGTTACGCCCTTTCTCAACCGAGTCAGTTACAACCTTTCTCAATTAGTTGCCATCAATTGTTCTGCGAAACTGAAAGTAATCATGAGTACCACGAACCAGACTTTGGAAAATCACAAGGATCTTTGTGCAAGAGTGTGCCAAAGATAAAGAAATAATCAACATTATTCTATGGGATTCTAGTGATGTATGTTAAGACATGAACCAGATGGATCTCGGGCAATAATCTTTTCCTTCGGAGTCAAGAGAGACTCTAAAGTGTCTATGCGGTTTCCCATTGAATTACGATCATTTTTGTAAGTGAGAAACAGTGAAAGGGTTCTTTTCATTAAGCTTAAAGGGTGGCTTCATCTTCAAGAAAACTACGAAACTTGACATAATTATGAACGTTCAGATGAATTACTTGTTTGACCAGTGTAGCCATAAGAACAAGTATGCTTTGGAATCATTCAAAGTGACTTGGATAAGTATAGAAATCTTAAGAAAAATAAAAACTAGATCTATTGGGAAGAATTGTATTAGGACTAGAACATTTCATTAAGATCGCACAAAAATAAGAAGATATTTCATGGTACCAACCATGAAGGTGGACATTCGTTAATTCTTTGGTGAAAAATCTAGAACATGTATATCGTTCACTGTCAATTCTTAAATGTGTGTTGGATTTTGGTTTCACTCAATTCGTGGTCATAACGAGTTTAAGATCATAAACACATAATTTGTTGTAACCATAAACCTCAGTGGTAATAACTGAGAGTCTCAAGGGTTACATTCATCAATGCGAAAGTGATAGAGAAGTAGTGGGAGGTGGTTCCAAAGAAAAAATGTACCTCTACTATGTGAAAGTGACTAAGCATTCAACTCTTAACTCATCGGAGAAGAGTCAGATAACTCATGACTAATGTAAATAAACAGCCTAATTAGAAAGAAACGATTGGTGTTATTGATTCATTAAGGCTTCAACATAGAGTCTTTGAGGCTTTGGACTACATATAAAAACATGCTTCTAGGGACACTTAACTATTGCATAGATTAGAAAATTTATACCTACATCATCATTCATAATTCAAATCACCAAGATATATGCCTTCAAACCTGCTCAATTATCTAATATTTTTTTGGTATTTTTGAATATTTTATGAAATGAAATAAGTAATGAAAATAAAGAAAATATTTTTGTATTTTTGCTTTTCTAAAAAAGAAATAAAAACAGAAAGAAACAAAATATTTTTGGATTTTGGATTTTCTGAAAAAGAAATAAAAACATAAAGAAATAAAATATTTTTGGCTTTTCGATTTTCTGAAAAAGAAATAAAAACAAAAATAAGTAAAAAGCAATAAAGAAAATGTACAAAGGATACATGAAGTCCCGAACCACGAATGAACAGTAGACTGCTAGTCACTACGAACATTCGCATCGATTTGTAGTATGAACAATTGACTACGAGTTACTATGAGTGTTCGCACCAATTAACAGTGCAACCAAAACTTTATGATTGCGAAGGCGGTTTCGGAACTGATTCAGCCTCTATCATTCCTAAGCTTTGGAGAATGCAATTTAAGGTTTGGTCATGCAAGGCTTACGTGAAGATGTCGGCTAGCTGATAAGAGGATCTAACAAAGTGTATCTCGACATTTCCATCTTCCACATGATATTTGATGAAGTAATACCTCAGTGCGATGTGTTTGGTCTTTGAATGTTGCACTGGGTTGTGACATATGCGAATGGCGCTTTCTGAATCACAATACAATGGGATTCGCTTCATATTTATGCCCTAGTCACAGAGCTAACTTTGAATCCAGATAACTTGTGAGGTACAAGAGGCAACGACTATGTATTCTGCTTCAGCAGTTGATACGAGGATGCACGTTTGCTTTTTAGATTGCCAACTTACTAGTTTTCCATCAAGGAATTGGCATCCTCCGATTCTACACTTTTGATCTAAACCACAACCTCCGAGATCAGCATCCAAAAACACTTCCACAAAGAAACCTGAACTTGAAGGGTACCATATTCCTAGCGAGGATGTTCGTGTGAGATACCTGAAGATATTCTTAAGAGCAATCATGTGGGGTTCACGAGGATTTGCTTGAAACCTGGCATAATAGCAAACAAAAAACATGATGTCTGAACGACTAGGGGTTAGATACATCAATGAACCTATCATTTGATGATAGAGTGTCATATTAGCAGTTGGTTTGTCCAGAGATGGTGTTAGTTTTGTTCTGCATGCCATTGGAACCTTCACATTTGAATCTCCCACCATTACAAACTTAGCAAGTAAGGTCTTTGTATAAGCCTTCTGATAGATAAAGATACCTTCCTGACTCTATCTTATATTCAAAACAAGGAAAAAGTTAATCAAACCCAAGGAGCTCATCTCAAACATAGTTTCCATCAACTTTCGGAACTCAGTAGTTAAGTTGGGATTAGTTGATCCGAAATGATGTTATCAACGTAAATTTGGACGATCATCAAGTGGTTACCATTTTTCATGCGAAAGAAGATTGGGTCAACTAATCCTTGTTTAAATTTTTTCTATTTTAAAAAGTGAGTAAGAGTTTCATACCAGGCTCTTGGAGCTTACTTTAGACCATAAACTGCTTTGTCCAGAATATAACAGTGGTTCGGATATTTTTCGTTTATGAACCCTGGTGGTTGTTCCACATACACTGTTTTTTCTAGTACCTCATTCAGAAATGCACACTTGATATCCATCTGATATACTTCAAAGTTCTTGTATGTTGCATACGCCAGAAAGATGAGAACAGACTCCAACCTAGCAACTACTGCGAAGGTTTCTACATAGTCAATGCCTTATTCTTGGTAGTAGCCCTTAAATACTGATCACGCCTTGTTTCGTATCACATTTTCCTCTTTGTCTATCTTATTAGGAAATGCCCATTTTAGACCAAGAACATATGCATCCTTTGGAGTGGGAATAAGTCTGTAGACCTTGTTTCGTTTGAATTCATTGAGCTTTTCCTGCATTGCTTGCCCCTAATCAGAACGATCAAGACCAATTTGAACATTTTTAGGTTCAACTTTGGAGATAAACGAGTTGAACATGCAATATTCCAGTTTAGAGACTAATGTAGTCTGCTTCCCTTTTTTGTGCTCTCGTAAGAACTCCTGAAGACAAATCTCCTACCACTTGAGTTTTTGGATGATCTTTGGTCCATTTGGTCAACGAAGTGTAATTAGGATCATAGTTTGGATCCAATTTAACATTTACTTCTTCAAACTCAGACTGCACATCTGAATCATCATTTGCATTTTCATTCTCCTCCTCGAATTATTTATGTTTTTCTTCATTTGGATTTGAACCCTCCCATGGAGTGGTGGTTCATTGCTGATTTCAGGGGTTTCATTCTCCCCCTGAAGAGGTGTATGAGATGAGGAGGTTGAAGTGAACCCCCCCCCCCCTTGCGGTGTAGCATTCGTACCTTTAGATTGAGACGAAATGTTACGGTCTTTCAGAGTGGGGTGCTCATGTTCCATATCTTTTGGGGCATCATCAATAATTTTCTTCAGTTCTTCTTCCTTTTTGTCTACTGCTTTGGATTCTGAGGAGATTTCCTTTTCTGGCTCATCGAATAAGTTCATGAACTCCTCATAGATATTTAAGAGTGGAATTGTAGTTGGATTCGGCTTGGGAAAGATCTCATTTGATTGATTGTCATCCTTCTGATACTTCTTCAAATAATTGTCATCAAATGCGATATATTAGGTTTCTTATATCCTTTTGGACTTTTTGTTGAGAACCCTATATGCCTTAGAAGTCAGAGAATACCCCAAGAAAATACCTTCGTCATCCTTCATATCGATTTTGTTCCTTTTCTCCTTAGAGTTGAAGATAAAGCACCTGGAACCAAACACATGGAAGAATTTGACATTAGTTTTTCGATTATTTATAATCTCATAAGGAGTAACAGAGAATCACTTATTAAGGATTGATCGATTTTTTGTAAAGCAGACACTTCCTTTAGCATCCACCCAAAAGTAAAGAGGCAGATTCACAAATGACATCATGGTTCTTGCAACTTCGCACAACGAGCGATTTTGTTTTTCCACAAACCTATTCTATTGAGGAGTATAAGGAGTTGAAAAGTTGTGACTTACTCCTTTCGTAGTCAGGAATTCTTCAAACGCTTGGTTTTTGAATTCCAAACCATTGTCACTGCGAATGTTACGAACCAGCTTTCACAGTTGTATCTCGATCTAATGGCTTCAGATTTCTTTTTAAGAAATTGCACCCAGGTAAATCTAGAAAAATCATCAATAATTACAAGTATATATCTTTTTACCACAAATGCTTTTAATTGTAGAGGGACCACGAAGGCCTATATGCAAAAGTTCAAGTGGTTCTATGATTTTCGTATTCACAACTGTTGGATGACTCTTCCAGCCCTGCTTCCCCATTTCACAGGCTGTACAAATATGTTATTTATCAAACTTCAAGAGAGGAAGCCCTCGCACATGATCACTAAGAACAAGTTTATTAATATCTTTGAAATTGACGTGCGAGAGTCTTTGGTGCCACAACTAGCTATCATCTGTAAAAGCTTTTGTAAGTAGGGAGATGGCAAGCTTCCCATTTATGGGGTTCAGATTGAGTGGATACAACTCGCCTTTGTGCTTTGACTTTATGAGAACTGTTTTGGTCTCCTTTTCGATGATCTCAGATCCCTCATCGCTGAACGAAACTTTCAATCTGATACTAACAACCAA